GAGGGGGAACGGGGTTGGAGGGAGTTTGAGCAGCGACGAAGTCCCTGCGGGTTATGTCGAGGGGGAGGGGGGATGAGGGGGTAGCTGTATTGGTGGTAGTATGGCCCTAGTATGTGTATGTATGAATGCGAGTTAGGGAACTTACATTGTATGCCCCTTGAGGGTTAGGGACTGATGTGAATGTACAATATGAATGTAAAGCGCAGCGTAAACTGACAGTAGTATATAAGTACCTGAAATAATAATAATAAAAGATTGGCCTCTTGTGGCTCTGACTTTTGGCACAGTACCAAGAACAGAGAGCAACTGAGCATGTGCAGGGCAGGGTGAGATGGTGCATTAGTGTATAGGCACTTATTTTTAATTATTTACATAGCTATACCTGCAAAACAGGCCAGCCTGAAGTAATCTAGCAGTACTTCATTTTCTGAGTAAAGTTCCACTTTAAGGTGGAACTAAACTCGCAGAAATACACGCCCCTGTATTCCAGTGAGACAGCAGTTAGACCTCCTTTATCCATGCAATTGAGAGGCACTAAGATCCTATGAGTGAGCCATGCTTTACCCCCTTCACTGCTGCTGTGTTGCTGGGTATAGTGAGAGAGCCTTGTGGCTGCTTGTCAGGGACCATCACGACGCATGGGTCTACACAGGCGTAGGTGTCTGCCAAGATGTGTAGGTGGCAGGACACTAGGACCCAGGCGCACCCATCATCTTGACAGTACTAGGCAGGCACTAGGACCTAGGCTGCATCTGTCAGGTGTAGGGCGGGCTATTTAAAACAGCCCTGCACAAACACTTGTTGCCGAATGGTCTTTGTATGCTGTTACCTGTGTTGTGAGTATCTTGATCTGGATTGTTTGACCTTGCTGCCTTCTCCTGTCCTGACCCTTGGCCTGCCTGACTCTGCTCCTGGATGTTCCCCTTTAAATCTGATCTTTTGGTATTAACCCTGCGTGTGACCCGACTATCCTTTGCCTACCGTTTTGTACCTCACCGACCCGCTAGTTACCGACCCGGCCTGTATGACTCTGATTTAGCTCATCCATCCATCCCGCAGGGATCACTAGGCTCCCTCACATCAGACTCTTAGCCCCCTGGAGCTCCTGTCAGACTCCTCTACCCCTGTTGGAGATACCTAGCAGCTGCGACCTGGTACCGGAGCGCTCCAAGTCCATCCCCACCATCAAGGGCCCTGGTGAACAAGTGCTCCAGTGCTTAGACTCCGCACTCTGGGGAGGCTCTGCCAGGAGATTGATAGAGGTGCTGTCAGGCGGTCCATTACACTGCTACTTGCTACTACCACATTAGACTGAGCCATTAGGAACTACTTACCATTGGGGGGGGGGCAAGAAAAATGTTTGCCCAGGGTCCAATCAATATTAAAGATGGCCCTGGGGTTGCTGGTAGAGGAAGTTGTGCCACTGAACTTCTGTTGGAGGGGGGCTAATGGGGACAGAGAGGTGTGCTGTTAGGGTGCTGTGACAAAGGGGAGAGGGTAAACTCTTGTCAAAAAACTCCACTCTCCTGCAGCCTTAGGCTCTCCTGCTAATGTGCTTTTAGGTGGGCAGGGCCGGCGCTTCCACTAGGCAAACTAGGAGGCTGCCTAGGGCACAGTGCAACCTAGGGGTGCCTGAGGGCAGCACAGACCAGCACTCCCTCTGTGTGGGACGCCGCCACATCATGAATAATCCTTCAGCTGAGGAGAAGGGCGGCAGAGGGGAGAAAGAAAGAACAGAGGAAGATGCCAAGTGTCTGGCAGCAGTTTAGCAGCTAAGCTGCTGCTCCCTCCAGTGTTCCTCTCAGATTCAGTCCCTTACTTCAAGCCAGCTGGTGGCTGATGATCACTCTTCCAGCCCTTCTCTTCCCATTCATTAGTGGAGGCGGAGTTGTGCCTGCGGAGGAAGGTAATATCTGACTCTGATGTCTCGTGTCTGTGTGAGTGTGACCTGGCCGGCCATCCATCACATGCGCAATGTGTCAGTGAGTGATGACATCATCACAATCCCACAGCCTGCTCTTCTAGTGCCTGCTGATCTGTGTCAGTGTTGGTGGTGGTGTGTTGTGTCGTATCTGTCACTGTGTAGGATCACTCAGTTCAGGTGCTTTCTCTGTGTGTGTGTGTGTGGGCTGGGCTGCCTGCTGTCAAAGCATTTTACTATGAAATATTGCAGATTACCAGTTTAGTTTTTGCATTACCATGCCAAAGAAGCCCCAGCATTGCATTCAGTGGTTTTCTGGAAGCTTGTTAATAGTTTCATACTAAAGAACTGGTCGTGGGTAGTCCTGGTATTAGCTACAAGAGGTAGGGGAAGGAAATTTCCATTAAAATGATTTCTGTGAATGGAAATCTAATTGGTTTGGGGTTCTTTGATTTGCTCATACTCTTTGTTATCAGTAATGCATTAATTTGTATGTAAGTGATAGAGATGAGCGAAGTATTCAAAAATTCGATTCGACTGATTCGGCGAATTCGTGGAAAAATTTTGATTCGAGTCGAATATATTCGCTGCGAATTTAACTTATAAAAGGGTGTTTCTAGGCTTCAGAGAGCCTTTATATTAGTGCAGAACACTGTACCTTTAATTTAAATGCCCTTGGAGTCTGCTGGGGAAGAGAAATAATACTGACAGTCAGTATGACATGCAGATGAGTGCCGTCGATCTTAGAATCACCGCACACTTCACTCATTTGGGCAGTCACGGGGCCAAATCCAGAGTGTGGAGCCACAGTGTGGCGGTGGAGGCAGCAGCAATGGGAGGCCATACAGCACCCTATGACAAAAATGGAAACCACCAGCAGTGTGAGGAGACCTGAAAGTGGCACATGGCAGAGTGTGGCGATGGAGACAGCAGCAATGGGAGGCCGTACAGGGACCCATGAGAGACTCTGGACCTAACAGCAGCATGAGGAGGCGGTATAGGGGCTCATGGCAGATTAGGGGCCTGGCAGCAGCTATGGGAGGCGCGTAATCTGCCAGCACCCTATGACAAAAAATGGAACACACCAGCAGTGTGAGGAGACCTGAAAGTGGCACATGGCAGAGTGTGGCGATGGAGACAGCAGCAATGGGAGGCCGTACAGGGACCCATGAGAGACTCTGGACTTGGCAGCAGCATGAGGAGGCGGCATAGGGGCCCATGGCAGATTAGGGGCCTGGCAGCAGCTATGGGAGGACCGTAATCTGCCAGCACCCTATGACAAAAAAATGGAACACACCAGCAGTGTGAGGAGACCTGAAAGTGGCACATGTTTGGGGCATGATTCATGGCGGATTTAGTCAGTTGTGTCAGGAACTGGTGGTTTGAAATCCAGACTAATCCACGCCTGATTCATTTTCACAAACATGAGTCTCTCCACACTTTGGGTGGACAGTCGTGTCCTCCGCGGAGTTACAATACCTCCTGCCGCACTAAACACGCGCTCCGATGCCACGCTACTGGCCGGACATGACAGCCTTTCAAGGGCAAATTCAGCTAGTTGTGGCCAAAGGTCAAGTTTCGTTGCCCAGTAGTCAAGGGGATTGTCTACCTCGGTTGGCAGGGTGCTGTCCAAGTAGGCCTAAGCCTGTTGTTTGAGGTCCTGCTCCAGGTCTACCTGATGATGCTGCTGCTGCTGCTGCTGCGGCTGGTTAGTAGTTTCCTCACTGCGCTGGTGAAGAAAGCTACTCATCATCGACTGCAGACTGAGGCAGCTGCTGCTGGTGGAGCTGCCACTGCTCCTACCACCCCACCCCTCCCCTGCTGCCATGGCAGCGGAACGCGAGCGCACAGGGCCCACAGTGTCTGAGGATGGACGTTGGCGCAGAAAGGCAGAGACCAACTGACTACATAGGTGGTTTTTATAGTACGTTATTTTGGCCTCCCTCTCAGCAGGTGTGAAAAAGGCCACCATTTTTGAACAGTAGCGAGGGTCCAACAAGGTGGACAGCCAAAAGTCATCCCTCTGTCTGATGGTTATTATTCGGCTGTCGGTACGCAAGCAAGCGAGCATGCTATGGGCCATTTGTGCCAAGGAATGCGAGAAACTCTCCCTGCCTCCATCTCCACAGCATACTGCCACGGTGCGTCTGGGTCCTCTGTCTCCTCTTCCTCCTCCTCTACCAGATGCTCCTGCTCCTCCACTCCTGTCCGCTGAGTGGAAAAACCACCCATTTCACTCAATAATTCCTGAGCACCAATGTCCTCCTCTACCTCCTCCTCTTCTTCCTGTCCTGCCCCCACAGGGGTCATGTGGCGTTGAGATCTGTGCGCCACACGTCTACCGCACCCTGACCAGCCATTGTTAACAGCATTTGTTCCAGGACGTGCAACAGAGGAATGACGTCGTTCATCCCATAGTCCTGCCGACTCACGAATAGCATGGCCTCCTCAAAGGGCCTGAGCAAGCGCAGGTGTCACGCATGAGCTGCCAATGGCTGACATCTAAGTTACACAGGGAGTACCTTTATCCACTTTTAACATCAGGAAATCTGTGATGGCCTTTTGCTGTTCGTAAAGGCGGTCTAACATATGTAGGGTTGAATTCCACCTTGTTGCAACGTCACAGCATGAGGAGTCGGTACGGGGGCCCATGGCAGATTAGGGGCCTGGCAGCAGCAATGGGAGGCCCGTAATCTGCCAGCACCCTATGACAAAAAATGGAACACACCAGCAGTGTGAGGAGATCTGAAAGTGGCACATGGCAGAGAGTGGCGATGGAGACAGCAGCAATGGGAGGCCGTACAGGGACCCATGAGAGACTGTGGACCAGCAGCATGAGGAGGTGGTATAGGGGCCCATGGCAGATTAGGGGCCTGGCAGCAGCTATGGGAGGCCCGTAATCTGCCAGCACCCTATGACAAAAAAATGTAACACACAGCAGTGTGGAGGAGACCTGAAAGTGGCACATGGCATGAGACACTGTGGACCTAGCAGCAGCATGAGGGGCGGTACAGGGGGCCCATGGCAGATTAGGGGCCTGGCAGCAGCAATGGGGGCCCGTAATCTGCCAGCACCCTATGACAAAAAATGGAAACACACCAGCAGTGTGAGGAGACCTGAAAGTGGCACATGGCAGAGTGTGGCGATGGAGACAGCAGCACAATGGGAGGCCGTTACAGGGACCCATGAGAGACTGTGGACCTGGCAGCAGCATGAGGAGGCGGTACAGGGGCCCATGGCAGATTAGGGGCCTGGCAGCAGCAATGGGAGGCCCGTAATCTGCCAGCACCCTATGACAAAAAATGGAACACACCAGCAGTGTGAGGAGACCTGAAAAGTGGCACATGGCAGAGTGTGTGGCGATGGAGACAGCAGCAATGGGAGGCCGTACAGGACCCATGAGAGACTCTGGACCTGGCAGCAGCATGAGGAGGCGGTAAAGGGGCCCATGGCAGATTAGGGGCCTGGCAGCAGCTATGGGAGGCCCGTAATCTGCCAGCACCCTATGACAAAAAAATGGAACACACCAGCAGTGTGAGGAGACCTGAAAGTGGCACATGGCATGAGACACTGGATGGACCTGGCAGCAGCATGAGGAGGCGGGTACAGGGGCCCATGGCAGATTAGGGGCCTGGCAGCAGCTATGGGAGGCCCGTAATCTGCCAGCACCCTATGACAAAAAATGGAACACACCAGCAGTGTGTGAGGAGACCTGAAAGTGGCACATGGCAGAGTGTGGCGATGGAGACAGCAGCAATGGGAGGCCGTACAGGGACCCATGAGAGACTCTGGACCTGGCAGCAGCATGAGGAGGCGGTACAGGGGCCCATGGCAGATTAGGGGCCTGGCAGCAGCTATGGGAGGCCCGTAATCTGCCAGCACCCTATGACAAAAAAATTGAACACACCAGCAGTGTGAGGAGACCTGAAAGTGGCACATGGCAGAGTGTGGCGATGGAGACAGCAGCAATGGGAGGCCGTACAGGGACCCATGACACACTCTGGACCTGGCAGCAGCAAGAGGAGGCGGGGTACAGGGGCCCATGGCAGAGTGGCGAAGCGTAAGCAGCTTAAATTGAAGGCCATACAGAGGCCTATGTTAAAAATAATAACATGTTTGGGGCATGATTCATGGCGGATTTAGTCAGTTGTGTCAGGAACTGGTGGTTTGAAATCCAGACTAATCCACACCTGATTCATTTTCACAAACGTGAGTCTCTCCACACTTTGGGTGGACAGTCGTGTCCTCCGCGGAGTTACAATACCTCCTGCCGCACTAAACACGCGCTCCGATGCAACGCTACTGGCCGGGCATGACAGCCTTTCAAGGGCAAATTCAGCTAGTTGGGGCCAAAGGTCAAGTTTCGTTGCCCAGTAGTCAAGGGGATTGTCTACCTTGGTTGGCAGGGTGCTGTCCAAGT